AAGAAAGAGAAGTGGTGCAGCAGCAGGGACAGCACAGAGGTGGAAATATCTAGCGGTCCTGTCCTTCCTTGAACCCTTCGTCACTCCGCGAGAGACCACCAGCAACATGCAGGGAAGGGTCGAGGAGGAGCAGGCCGCTGAGTACAGCCACCCAGAGGAGCCAGAGGAGTATTCAGGGCTATCTGATGCCAGAGGTTTGTTTAGTGAGACAGTTAAAAATGATCCGGTTTCATCTCCTCTTCTTAATTTATAGTGGTTCATATTATTAAATTGTTTTAATAAATATATTGACAGAAACAGAAACAACAGTGTCTCAGAACCAGCTTGCTGAGCTGTCTGCCTCTTCCTCTGAGCTGGCTGGACCATCCTCTGCTCCTGGACCATCCTCTGCTCCATCATCATCAGGTGTGTATGGAATCAGTAAGGTACTGTCTCCTCTTCTGTTTGTTGTTGTGCAATGAAACACCAGATAAAATGAAACCTTATTTTGTGATCCCCAAAATCCTATATTCTGCTCTAATTATACTGTCTGCTTTTAAGGTCCATCGAAGAAGAGGGTCCGGAAAAGGCAGCATGATGAGCCCACAGAATTTGAGAGGGAGATGTTTGAGGTCCTGAAATCTAAATCCACATCTGACCCCTGCTGTGAGGACGATTATTTTCTGCGTTCTCTGCTTCCTCTCCTGAAAAAGGTTCCACCAGAGTCAAAGGACTTTGTAAAATTTCAAATTCATAAGTTATTGTATGAAAGCAGCACTGTCACGCTTAATCTGGAACCATCAGAGACCACAGAGTAATTTTTTTTAACATAAAATAGGTGGCACTTTTTGCAGGAGAGGAAACAGACATTTTCATGTTTTTTTTTCCTTTTTGTTCACGTTGTATGTATGTGTTGAATTAATGTTTGTTCAAAATCTGTTTTAATAAATATTTTATGAATTTACATTTGGTTTAATTATTTAAACTATCACTTTGATCTTTCATTTGTCAGTTCTTTTAAATAGTTGAAGTGAATTAAAATATTTATATTTTACAGTATTATTCATTTAAAGATGAAACATTTTGATAAAATGATAGATTCAGGAGCCACAAATCACTAACATCGTCTTTAATTAATTTTCCCCAAAACTTTTAAGTGAACTGTAACAATGGTCTTGGTTTTGCTTGTGGTTATGCTGTGATTAACCAGGAGCAGGAGTCAGAAACAGTTCCAGGAAGCTACTTTCTGCAAAGAGGAGGGAGACAAACAGCATAACATATAAATGTTTTAAACACAATCATGTTAACAAGCAAGGAAAATGATTAAGTTATATAGAAACTAGGCTCTTGAAGTTTTGGTGGGTGGCTCTTAAAAGAGCCGTTGTGCGTCAGTCCTGTGGAGGACATGACTACTCAGTTGGCTGCCATGGAACTGCTCCCTCCTCACAGAAGTAGGCCATGAATGCCTCTCTGGCATCAGTTGCCTCTCTTGCTGCATGGTTTGCTCCCATGCGCCCCACATCTGGAAGGGGATCTTCCTTTGTTCCAGCTCCACTCAGTGAAGGTACATGCCCATTTGCCCTTATGAAATTGTGAAGAACACAAGTGGCCTTCACACATTTCTCCACAACCTCTGGGTAGATCTCCAGCTGACGGCGAAACATCCTCCACTGGCCAGACCAAATCCCGAACGCATCTTCCACCACCAGACAAGCCCGTGACAGACGATAATTGAAGAGGCGCTGCTCTTTGGTGAGGCCGCCGCCTCCAGGAAAGGGCTGCATCAAATTTCGCCGTAGTGGGAACGCCTCATCTGCCACAATCACATGGGGCTGGGGTCCTCTGTGGTCAGCTCTGGGGAGGTGCTGGTCAGGTGGAAAATTCAGCGTGCCCTCACGCAGAGCCTGGCCAAACGTGGAATTGGCCAAGATCCCACCATCACTTGTTCTCCCATAACCCCCAACATCTATCACCCGGAACCTGTAATGGGCATCAACAAGGGCTAAAAGGACCAATGAGTATTCTCCCTTGTAATTAAAAAAGAGAGAACCTGAGTTGGGAGGTGCTTTTAGCTTTACATGTTTGCCATCCAGAGCACCACAGCAGAGAGGGAAGTTCCACTGCCTCCAAAAATCCTCAGCAATGGACCTCCACTCATCTTCTCCAGGCACAGCCATAAACTCTCCCACAAGGCAGTCCCAGATGGCTGTAACAACATCTGGGACAATGATGGAGACAGTGGAAATACCCACCCGGAAGCTGCTGGCAATTGACCTGTATGAGTCACCAGTTGCAAGAAACCTGAATTAAATAAACAGAAAAAAAAACACATTATCTATGTCATTTATTTTAAGAAAATGCAGATAATTACACACACACATACAGTATATATATATATAGACATATATATAGATATAGATACACACACATATACATATATATATATATATATATAGAAATCTATATCGACATCTCTCTCTCTCTCTCTCTCTCTCTATATATATATATATATATATATAGAGAGAGAGAGAGAGAGCAATATATATATATATATATATATATATATATATATATATATATATATATATATATATATATATATATATATATATGAGCTACAAATTCATCAAAGTGTTTAAAAAATACCTTCAGCATGTTATACTTTAACTAAAATAAGCCCTCCTTAATTGTTATCACAGCAATGAAATTATTATTTTTTTTCAGCACCGATACGAGCCTTCTTTCTCACTAACCTGAGACAGATGGACAGGCGCTCTTCAGCTGAAACTGACCGTCTGTAGTTTGTGTCCTGGTAGGTGATGCGGGCACCAATGCGGGACAGCAGGTCATCAAACTGGGCTGGGGAGAGACGATGGTAGCGCTGGAAGCGACCCTCGTCGGCTCGGAGTTCCTGGAGTAGATGGTGAAACTCTCCACAAACTGAACACCTCTGAATTGTTTCGTGAATCCAGATATGACGACGACGCGCCCGAAAACGGCGTTCTCTAGCTTTATTTATTAAAATAAGCCAGGCGACTCTCCTTAATTTCATCCGCCATTGTTCCAGGCAAAGAAAGGATAGTGAAGCTCCGCCCAACGCGCATCAGTCCCACTTTTGGACCGCGCAGCGAGAGCAGCAAAGCTGCTTCAGCCGCGCGTCAGAATTCACTGGTACAAGCAGCAAAAATGAAGCAGCAGATGCTATTTTGCTGCTTTTGCTGCGTCCGGTCTGAACGTAGCATAACATACTGTAGCACAGACCACGCCTCAAAACTGGGCATAAATCTAAAATATCTGCAACAAGCTCACTGCGATACACTGCTGCGGGAGGATAACCAGCACTTTAGACTAGGGCTGCAACTAACGATTATTTTAAAAATCGATGAATCGGCCGATTATTTTTTCGATTAATTGATGAATCGCACAAAAAATATTTTTTATATTAACCTCTTTATTCCAAAATAAACATTTTAGACAGAACAAACAAGCACACAAGTACAGGTTGCTCATTAACTGTACTGGTGCAATGTGAAAAATAAATGTTTGTGTTAAAACTACGCAAACTTAAATGAGAAATGTAGCTGTACATCCACAAAATATAGGGTACTTTGTTTCATAAAGCGCAAAAAAAGACATTTTTGTTTTTTAAAGCCCCTAAGGGGTTCAAACAATAGGCCCCCCCATTTCAACAAATTAGTTTTTTTAGACTAGAAGAGTTCTGCCTTTTCAGACAGGAAAGTATAGCAGTTAAAGTTGCTACTTGAGAAAATACTTAACCATAGAGATAAAAATAGCCCTGTGATTCCAATTATAAATTGTATTTGGAATGAAAATGAGAGAACTAGGGGTGCTAAAAAACACATCCTCCAAAGACAGATATTTACATGGGAATGTGGCATATAATTAATTGACATATTACTGATCTTGCTGGATTTTATACTTTACTTCCATAAATTGCAGGATCTTCTTTACTTTATCTTTGCCAGAAGATTTAAACTTTAAAAGCCTTGCCCTCATAATTTGCAAGTAAATTTATTTATAAAGGCTATTTTAATTATTGTGATCAATTTGCGCCGTCAATCCCGGCGCATGCGCGCTTCATTTGCAGTCTGGATGCTGAGGGTAAACATCCTGCGGCTCTGACAGCAGCACTGAGAGGGACTCATGCGGGAGCGGGAGAGCGGGGTTGGCAGGGGGGGGGCGCCTCACGGCAGCAGCTGCCGCTGGAGGACAAGAGAAGGAGCGATACATGCTTTCACGTAAGAGTCTCCAAAAGCCGCCAGTGACACCGTAAAAAGTCGCCAGATTTGTCGCTAGTCGCTTTTTTGAAAAATAGTCGCTGGAGGGGTCTGAAAAGTCGCTAAATATAGCGACAAAGTCGCTTAGTTGGCAACACTGCGCACCTGCAGCGCTGACTCACTCTGCCGTAATTTTTTTTCTTCCCCCGTTTCAGTCAAGTGGCAGTGATGAAGGCGGCGGCGGATGACGCATTCATCGCACGACACAACTAATCAATGATGAAATTCATTCCCAACACTTTTAAAAGTCGATTTTTTATCAATTTTATCGATTCGTTGTTGCAGCCCTACTTTAGACCCAGCTTTTTCTGCCAATGGGAAGGGAGCCAAATGCTGATTGTTAGCGGGTTGACCTGTATTTGTAAAATCTATGCTAACCCGCTAATTTCAGTAGGATATGCTTTTGTTAGTCTGCTTCTTCTACATGCCAGAAACTATCGTCTCTCCCTAATAATAGATACTCTGCAAGACCCTTTTAACCAGAAACACACATATATGTCCTAAAGTAGTTTATGTCTCTCTCTATTACACAAGCAGATTCCCAGATTAATATGCACTGGCATCAATATTATTAGCAAGCCAAAAAGATGCAGATTGTTGGCTTTGAGGGGAGCTGTTGGTAACAAATAATAAGGGTCAAGTCGATAGGGAAGAGGAGTAATGGTAGGAGGGTTAAACAAAGGGAGAGAGAGAGAGTGAGTGTGAGTAAGCTGCTTTCTCAAACATCCCAGTGTGAGAGCGCTGGAGCACAGAGTGAAAGTCCCAATCCCACCATCTATTCACTTATTCATTCATTCATGGATGCAGCTTGAATGACCCCAACTGCAGCAAGATGCATGTGAAACCTTCTCTAATTCGTTCTTTATGCGCAAGACACAGCAGAAGAGGAAGAGGCTCACAGAGATGTGATCGCTGTGTTGCCTCAGTCTGCAATTAAGGTGGGCAATCCGTCTTTTTCTTCCTTTGAGTTTTGTTTGTTAATTATGCAGCGCAAAAGGAGTTGGCATGCTCTCAGTTTGTACGCATGTTGTCTTAAACCAGAGAGGGTTTTGTTCAAAGGCTACAAGAAAATCATGGTGTTAATCTTTGGGAAACTTTTAAAATGATTATAAGTGAACAATCAAGGATATAACGAATTATACAATGCATGTTTCTGAGATATTTCTTTTCTTCCTGTAAAAATAGCTGTGATGAAGCTCTCTGTTTCAACTCTATATGCTAAGACAATCATTATGCAGCTCTGATATTGACTCTCCTCAGTGGTTGTGACATGTCATGTCTTGTAATTTGCTTGGTGTTACTCTTAACCTATCAGTTGTAGGTAATAATTAGGAAGGTATCAATTAAATCCTTAGAAATCAGCTTTATATGCCACCCTGTGAAAAGAAAAAAACTATGCATATATATGTATTAAATACAGAAGTAAGCAATATTGATCTATATCTGCCAAAGTAGAATTTCTTTCAAATTTTGCAATACACAGACTTTAAACCAATGTCTTTTTCATTTTCTTTAATAACTGAGATTAATCTCATTCTGCAGGTTTACAAAATGGAACTCTTCACCATCAGTTTCCTACACACATTAACCACAAACTAAATCTAGCTTCATTAGACAGTGCCTGTAGAAAAGGGTTTATCAAATACATTTCAAATCTTCTGAGTTGCAATCATGAAATTACAAACTTTAATAAACTTTATTGGTATTATCTGTGAAAGATGTAAAATTTAACATGCTTTTTTTCTTACATTCTTTGCATTCATGCTTTTAGCTTATTTTAAATATCTTTAACATTTTGTATTGAACTTTTTGTTATTTTATATTTCATTCTATCCTACTTTTATAGCCAGCCTTTAATATGGACAACAAAGTAAGAATTTCAGTGTACAGAGTAAATACAGCATATATAATATGCAATATTATATATGATAAAAACTTGTTGTAGAAGCAATGCATTACAACTAAGCAAAGTAACCTTTTTACAGAATTGCATCTTGATTTAATACACAAGAAAAAGGCAGACATTACCGCTTTGCCAACTCAGCCAATATTATTTACAGGTTGACAGCTAAGCAACTTTTTTACACGTCCTTTGTCACTGTCATTATGTTTGAAAACGCTGTGAGGCAAAACAACATTTAAACAGAGATTGTGTTGCTCACAGGCTCTAAGGAGCATTGATGGCATTTATAGATTTTCAAGCATGTCTGAAAAGCCTTTCATGTTTAATGTTAGCTACTGTTCAAAGCTCAAGGGAGAAAGGAGTGTTTTTGAAAAAGTCAGTGATGTAAAAACAAATGCCTAATGCATACAGAAGCCAGAACTTGCTTTGGTAAACTGTATTAGAAAATAAGCCCAAAGAGTTCATCTGAACAGATCTGATAAACATAATAAGAAATTCAGCAGTGAACCTTTAAAGATTCTCTTAGTTTTGTCATAAACGGGACAAATGGACCCAGTATTAAGGCAAGTCAGACAAAGACAAATGACAGAAATGATAAAAAAAACAACAAAACAAAACGGGACAGAAACGCGGACAGGTTCAGTGTTCTATGAGTCTAGCAACAAGCTCAGGCAGACACGCTCAGGTGGAGACAGACAGGCTCAGTGGTTGAGGGAAATAGACAAGACATGCTACCGGAATTACTGCAGAACTTTAAACTGAACTCCCCCGCGTTCTGAACCGAAACCCTGAGGGCTCCGCAGAGAAGAGTCGGGACAGCAACAAGAGACAGGAGACAAAAACCAAACCTTCTCAATGCACTGGTTTACAAGAGTCAGGACATGAAGCAGGAACGTAACTTAAACTCGAAAACAAACATGAAAGACTGACATTAAAACATAAGACGAACCTAAGAATGCACCAATAAACAAAGAATACATAAATACACAAAGAATACACAAATAAACAAAGAATACTAACAAATAGTATTCTTTGAAGAGTGGGGAGTAATCAGATAAGTTAGTTTTTGTATTTTCAATTTTAACCAGAATGTTTCAGATCAGTAAGGAAATAAACAGATGTAAACAAAAATGTGAGTAGATACTAAATCCAGTTTTCAAAAATGATTCAATTTATTGAAGGTACAAAAATGCCCAGGTCAACTAGCCTTTTGTGAAAAAAAAAAAAATTCAACCTAAACGTAAAAACAAGTCAAATAGAAAATAAAATCCTCCAATGACTTCTTTTCATTGTTATAGACGAATCTGACTTATCTTTCTATGCAAAATAGTTTTAATTCAGCCACGCTAAGAGATTATTGGAATTTAAACGCCAGTTTAAAGTACTGCTACAGCATCTAAATCAGAATCAATTCTGGGCTTTGACTGGGCCACTCTGGCTTTATTTGTTTATTTAGAGGAGGACTTGTTTATGCGTGGATTTTTATTAGGTTGTAGAACTAAAATGTGTTTGAGCATTAAGTTTAAACTGTTGATTGAAAAACAGTGTATGTGGTTTGCTGAATTTATAAATGTAACTCATTATATGAAATTATACTAAAGATTTATATTTGTTTTTCATTGTCATCTCACATACATGAAACCTCAGAAGTTTTAATCATAAGTTAGAAGTTAATACACAAGTTGAAAACTGGCAACTTCGCAAAAATAGAAGAGCAAATCTCAAATTTACATGGATTAATAACAGATTTCCCTTTATTAATCTATGATAAACCTTTTATAATTCTTACATGTTGGTGGCAGTTATGCACATTGTGGTGTTGCTCCCCTTAGCATCACTAGTAAACATTATTACCTGACACATAGAGCACAGCGGACCACTTCTTGCTGGATCAGTAGATGATATGTTTTCAGAACTAACAGTCCTATGGTTACATGGAATATTCCTATGCCCTAGTGACGGTCTGCCCTCTGACGGTAATTACTGGTATGGTTCATACATAACACACATGAAGGTTGTTCAACACCTGTCATTAAATGAGAGGACGAAGAGGAAAACCAAATCATCAATATGGTATTTCTTTGCTGGATTGTTTAGTGCTCAAATTTGTACGTTGTACTCATAGATTTGTAATTTATACTCATCAATTTGGGAACTGTAGCTGGTAAATCTTTGATTTGTGTTCATAAATGTGTGATTTCTTCTGATTAGTCTGTGAACTGTAAGGTGCCTTGAGATGACGTGTTGTGAATTGGTGCTATATAAATAAACTGAATTGAATTTGTACTCCTAAATTGAGATGCTATTTTTCTGTAACTTTGTGTTTTATACTTGTAAAATTGAGATTTGTACTTTGTGCTTTTTTTAAACTATCTTTTCAGACCTGTAACTTCTGAACTGTTATTCTTACAGACAAAACATCTAATGTCATATGATGTTCTTTGTCCTGAAGTATTTTGTTAATATTGTACCAGATGTAAGATGTACCCCATCCAGAAAGTTCCCATCTTGTCAGAATATTTCATTTTATAGTCATTACGTTTACTAAAGTCTCTTTAGGGAGATGGTTGATGGGTTACTGTTCTCTGTGTTTGGTAGAGGTTCTGGCCTGGAACTGTCCAATTTATGCATTTTTTATAGTCTTTCTTATTGTGGAATAATGAACACTAATCTTGTTTAAGCTGGGTTCTTTGTCACTGATTATACATGTGGCCCATTTATTTCTGAAGTACTTTTGTAGGCTTATCATGCCTCTTTTCTCCTTTTATTGATAATGTGGTATCATATCCTGGAATCCAAGAGCATAAGAATAAATTTGAAAATGGTGAAAAACCTTTTTCGGCAAACTGTACATCTGCTGAGAGGCTTTATAAAGCTCAAGTCAAATTTATGGTCAACCCATGAATTATGAATTAGAAATTAAAATGCTCTCTACCATTAAGATAAATCTTGGATACAGCAATAAGAAGGACACATTAGATAAAAAAATTAATAAATAAAAAATATCATGGCTTTTTCGTCTGCAAAGTCTGCAGGGTTTGTAACTTTCTTGTTGTATTTCTGGAGTGAGAAGTTCTTTTTTCCCCCAGAAGCTTTGTGATGTGAGGAGACTCAGCAGGGGCTCCGTCAGTATTGCTGGCTCTTGACGTCAGTTTGGTGTGTTACAGCCTTTGGATTTGGGGGAACAAAAATAGAAATAGAAGCAGATTCTCTTTCTTCTCTAAGATTTTTTTTTTCTGAATAAGCTTGAACTCCTTGGAACATACAGTACAGCTCTACTTCTAGATTTACACTCATCCCCAGGGTCAAAGCAGACCAGTAAACAAGTTAATGTATGCAGGGTGGGTGAGCTTTTATAATTAGTACGGGAAGCTTGCAGTTTAAATAATGAAAACTGCTGTAGCTCTGAGGTTGTAATTTATGCGTAAATATCCTTCCTGATACGTTCTTTGATGATGTTTTGATGCTGCTTTGATTGTATGTAAAAGATGAAGCTCCTGCAACGTCCTTACAGCCATGGAAAATTCTGATGCCTATATTTATGACCTGGATGGACATAACCCGATTTAGAAAAGGGGAGTCTGACAAAATCTGCAGTTTAGAACCAATCAGATAACAGGAAATATAATGCAAAAACGTCTTTCTTAAAAAGAATTTTTGAGTTTTTGAAGTTGAAATATTATATATTTATGAATACGACAAATACAATCAAACATGTTCTTCTTTTGATTGATTATAAGGATGGGGCCATAACTGAGTATATATATATATATATATATATATATATATATATATATATATATATATATATAGATAGATAGATAGATAGATAGATAGATAGATAGATAGATAGATAGATATGAGATTTTGTAGAATTTAGCACAGCGTTTTCGACTCTCAGATTAAAATTCTCAATTGTCAATTGTTTGTGACTTATAAAATGTTCTCTTAGTTACTAACATAATATTGTGGTATCAACCATTCATCTTTTCCACCAAAGCATTTACATTTTGCTTCACAGAATCAAGAAAGCCT